GTTTTTGTTCTATTTTCTGATGGAATACCAAGTTCTTACATTAACCAGGGTATTTTCTAGAGTGTCTATCCTGTTTTAGCATTGGTGCTAATGCCTAACTTTTAATTATTGCTGTTTCATGTTTTAATTTCTTTTATTTCAAAATCTCCTTAGCTGTTTTCAGTTGTGAATTCTTTCAGCTGAACCTAAATACTTCTGACTCGTTTCCAAAAATCCCTTTGGACTTTTACTAAAACTATAAATTCAACTAAAAGTTAATTTGGAAAGAACCAATGCTCAAGTCTGGGGGGAAAAAATGGGCACTTGCAGACATTGTTGGAGGATATATAAATTGGCCTTTTAGGAAGATAACTGGACAGTCTCTATCAAACTTTTAAATGTATTGATGCACTGATGCAGAATTTCCACTTCTTGGTACCTAGAAACCTCACACATATACAAAAAAAAAAAAATGTTCACTGCACGACTTTTTGCAATAGATGACACATACCTAAACAACATCACAGAGATCGGCTAATGAATTATGGGTAAAGCCAAATCTACAATCCTAGCAGCAGGCTGGTGCACGTGTACAGAGAAGGAAGGAAATTCTCGACTTAATGTTAAATGAAGAAAAGCAAACTGCTAAACAAATGCCTACAGTGTGATTCCTTTTTTTGTTTGTTTAAGTGCATTTTATTTTTAGACAACCTACATGACATGTTTTTTCTTAAAAAACAATGCCCCTGCTCCAAGTAAACCAAGGTAGTCAACTTCGGCAAATGCTTTCTGTTAAGGACCAGTTAGCAAATATTTTGAGCTTTGTGAACCATAAGGTCTCTGTCACTGTCAATATGTAAACAAGTGAGTGTAAATAAAACTTTATTTACAAAACCTGGCAGTGGGCTGAATTTGGCCCTCAGGCTGTGTAGTTTGCTGACTCTTGGTCCAGAAAGAAAATTACCAAATTAGCCCTGAGGTGTGGCTCATTTGGTTAGGGCTTTGTCCCAAGACACCAAGGTTGAGGGTTCAATCCCCAAAGCACATAGAAGAATCCACCAATGACTGCACAAATAAGTGGAACAAGTCAATGTTTCTGTTTCTCTTTCTCTCTCTCATTCTCTGTCTCTTTCATCCCCCCCTCATCTCTCTCTAAAAATCAATAAATTTAAAAATTAAAAAAATAAAAGCTCTATTTTAAAAAAAAAGAAAAATTTCCCAAAATTATATCAGCGGTTGCCTCTGTGAAAGAACCAGGACTGGGTCTTGGGGGAGAAAGGAGGCTATTAGCTCTGTCTGTTACGGGTAAGGAAGCTTCCACATGGTATTTATCTATCTTGTCATTAAATAAACACTTTTATAGTGCTTTCCATATGGCAAATGCTATTCTACCTTTATAAAGTAATTAAATTCATTTCGGCCTCATAACAACTTTAAATAGAAACTATCATTATCCACATCTTACAGATGAGGAAACTGAGACACAGAAAGGTTAAGTAGGTTTGCTGGGAGTCACACACACTTGTTGAGTTCAAGCGGTGGAGCCAGGATTCAAACCCAGCAGCCTAAGCCCAGAGATTACACGTCAGCACTACTTTTTTAGTCCAGCTGTGTTGTTCTTTTTTAAAATAGTGCTCTAATGTTCTAAACCAGCCACTTTAATCAAGAATTCCATTTTTATACTAAAGAAAAAGCATGAGTGGACAAAGAAGCTATTTTCTCTATTTATGCTGAGACCATGAAACACTGTGTTTTAACTGGAGTGAATAAAGAGCCAAGTTGAACATATCTGATACTGAATGCCATACTTCCTACTGGATCACAAGTTCCGGGGAAGGAAAGTTACACAGAAGAGAGTCCAGATTTTAAAGACACAAAATCCCTTTGAATTCCAGTTGGGCATTTCCAGACAAGTCACTCAACCTCTCTGAGCAATGGCTTATCCATTGGCAAAACAGGCACATACATGCCTTAGGGGTTGCCATCACCATGCAATGGGATTTGCATGCAAAGCACTCAAGAGAGAGTTGAGAAATGGACATTACATAAATTCCTGCACAGTTGGAGGACTTCCTGTTTGTCTGGCAGGGAAACCAGAGCTAGCTCTGCCCACAGCCACAGTTTCATCTCCTGCCAAAGGCTAAGAGAAGGATTATAGCCACAAGGGCAACCTAAGAAGGGACTTCTGAGGCAAAGCCCTGATGGGCAGGCCCAAGGCACCATCAGAACCCCATGACAGTCTGGGAATGGAGGATGTTGAGGATGGGAAGCAGCGTCTAACCAGCGTTTCTCAACCTGTGGGTCTCAACCCCTTTGGCGGTCGAATGACCCTTTCACAGGGGTCGCCTAAGACCATCCTGCATATCAGATATTTACATGACGATTCATAACAGTAGCAACATGACAGTTATGAAGTAGCAACGAAAATAATTTTATGGTTGGGTCACAATATGAGGAACTGTATTTAAAGGGCCAGAAGGTTGAGAAACACTGGAAACCCTGAGAGTAATTACCTGCAAGTTACAGTTCACTGATTGCTGAGTATCCCAACCCAGGAGACCCAAATCCAGGATTGGCAAGGGGCCCATTTTAGAGGTGGGCAAGGTGAGGCCCAAAAAGCGGCAAGGCTGGTTCTGAAGGAGCCTGGAAAGGCATCCACCCGTTCTTCCAGGCTTTCTGACCCAGGGGATGCCAAAGCCAACCTCATCCACAGAATGTGCTGGCTGGGCCAATGGGGTCTTTGAACACATTCTAAGTGTCCTTAAATCGATGTGCACTCTGCAAATCGCTGTCGTCTCAGGGCTGCCAGCTTTAGTCATGTATCAGCATCTGTGTCCCACCACCACCACATCACCCCCATCCCTCGAAGAGAGTTTTCACTATCAGCCTGGGGTATTGTTATCCAGTTTGATAAAAGCAACGGAAGGCCCAGAATAGGCAGAAGTTCAAGATTAGAGTGTCGGTCCTTCCAAAATGGCCTAGGAACTGGATTGGGCATGGGGGGAAAGGTGTTCCCTCGGGGGAAGAGGACTGTGGGATCTGGCAGCAGACTTCCTGGGTTCACACCCTGACTCTGAATTTCTGGGACCATTCAACAGCACTCCAATCCTTACCAGGGACCCCTCCAGACAAGCCCTGCTGGGGAGAACTGTCCCTTTAAGATTCTGGTGGGCAGGTCCAGCCATTTTCAGGGAGCTGACTCTGACATTTCTGTCTTCCAAATTCCAGGCCCAAACAGGAAGTGAGTCACCACAGGAGAATGTGTGGCTCCCAGCCTTAGGCAGACTAGCAAGGCCAACCAAGGGCCGGTCCTCTGTGGGGGTCAGGCCTTTATGGAGTGTATGACTGATTTGTAAGCCGAGGAACAAGATTTCAGCATCTGCTTGCATTACTGAATAGCGAGCAACTAGAGAAAGTCTCAAATGCAATCCAAGTTCATCTGAGTTGACCAGTCAAGCAGGTCACATGGGCATCTTTTGGTGACTGGCAAGGCCAGACCCCCAAACAAGAGGTTACTGAACACACACTCAAGCCAGCTAAATGATTTATGTGCTCACAACACTATGAGGCAGTTATTTTTGTCGTCCCTACTTTGCAGATGAGCTAACTGAGGCCCAGGTTAAAGTAACTTGCCCTAGTTCCTACCTGCCCCACTCTCCTATTCTCTTGAGTTTGAAGCCACAGATCTGGGTTCAGATCCTGGTTTGGCCACCCCCCTTAACCTTTTATTTCTAACCTGTAAAATGGGGTCCCCTCATCCCTTCAAAAACTATTTACTGGATGCCTACTTGGTGACAGGCACAAAGACAGGTTAGAGTGAACACTGACTCCAGGAAAGGCTGACTAAAACAAAAGTACACCAATAAATAAAATCACAAGACATAATGAAAAACAAAGGGCAGATAAAAATGCAGGAGGGGGACATCCAAAACGAATAAAAAAGTGACAGCCTTTTTAAAAAGTGGGTAGGACATCCCAGGAGCAGACGTAAATCAAAAGAATTCCACAATATTTCTACAACTTGCAGCTGGAGTAAATGTTAACCAGAAGCTTCGAGGTTTCAGTGGGGTGACCCCAGACCCTGCCATGCCCAAGGGAGGGAAATCCTCATTGCTGGCACCCACTGAGAATGCCAGCTGGGGTGACAGCAGACACAGGCCAGGCCCTGGTCCTCCCCAACCTCAGATAGCACCAGCTCCACACCTAGGTGCTGGAAAAAAACCCACCCCCTCCCCTTTAGCTCCACCCTCTGCCTTCAAGGAACCTCCCCCACAGCTGGGCTGTGAGCCTGTGCCAGGAGGTAAACTAGCCAGTGATTCTACACGAGCCCACTAGTCATGCCCAGGAATGCCATTGCTCTGGCTTGCACAGCCGGAAGTCCACTGCATGGTGGCCTCAGCAGTCAGGAGTCCATTTAAAACGGGATTTCACTGGGATATCAGGTCCCAGGCAGCTTCACAGGAGCCCACCTGCTGTCCTCATGTTGCACGTGGCTGTGAGCTGCTGGGAACAGACTGTTCCTTCCTTGGGGTGGATGTCACCAAGGCCATTCCTGGTGACATTCCCTGCACATCAGCACATTCTTTCCCTCTCCCTCCCCCCCGCTTCTCACTTGGGAACAGCCTCCAACCTGAGTCACCCCTTATCAGCCTCAAGACAATTTGCCAACCACTTCAATCCCCCCCACCCCTGTGGAAAAATAAAGAGAATACTATCTTGTAGCCACCTCCTTGTAGCCAGGATTAAGAATTCAGTGCTCACCTTGAGCCAGGTGCCCTTAGGCATCCTCACAAACAGTCCTCTTTACAGATGAGGAAACTGAGGCAGTGTCTAAAGAACTTGCTAGGATGGGTTGGTGACACCGTAATCACAAGGTTCTAGGACTTCCAGGCACAGCGGCAGTGAGGGATCCACAAGAATCCGTGGCATGCCCAGCCCCACACAGATCGGTGGCCACAAAGCCAGGCACTGAAGCATCTGGTCAACTGGTAAATGGAAACGACAGTACCTACCCAACAGAATGAGCTCCCAGGAACTTTATTCCTTGCTCATGAATATTCATACATAGTAAAAGATGCAGATCGGTATAGGCTGGTAAGGGGAAGAGCTCCACCCAACTTTAACTGAAAACAAAAGTGCAGTTTAAGAATGTACATGACCTTTTTTGTAGGTTTCAGGAAAACATAGGTCCATGTAAGTAGTTAAGTTCACTAATTCTTGACAAGGTAGGGAGATGTGGAGTCTGTAGGGATGTGGATGAGTGCGCCCCACCCTGATTTTGGGAATTGCTCTTTTAACAGGATTCCAAGTGGAGCCAGCATGCTTGAGGAACAAGGTTCTTCCTACTTCCTGCTGTGGTCACCAACCTTGGCATTGGCCTGCTTCCCTCATGGCGGCAGGCCACACAACTCAGGCTCACCTGCACACACGATGACATCCACAAGCAGACTGCTCAGGAAGACTCCACCTTGAACCTTTCTGTACAATTTTCCCCAAAGTGTAATGTTTTAAATGTAAACAGAGGTAAGCGGATGGTAGGACTTAGGATCCATTTTCTTAAATTAGCCTTTTTTTAAAGATACCGTCCCCACGCCAGACCTTTGGATTTAGTGTAAATGGGGAGTCCAAGATCTCTATTGTAACCCTTTACACCACGGGAGACAGCCCCCCAGGTGGAGAGACCCCTCCTGGTGAGCCAGGATTCACCTCACCCTGGGGCCCTTGTGGGTGTGAACTTCCACCTGCCCACTGCCCCAAGCCCTGGTCATGTCCAGACTTCCTCAAAGCCTGAGGAACTAAAGGTGGATGAGCAGGCAGCATAACGGGAAAGGTGTAGGCCTCAGCAGCTCCAGCTGCCCTCAGCCTCAGGGCGCCAGGAAGTCCAGACCCATGGGCCATCTGTCCAGGAACAATCTGTAAAGAGCTAAAATAACATTCCCCTTGGAATTCTCCGCAGAATGCCCTGGAGATCCTTGGATGCTGGTTCTCTACCGGAGGAGCTGGAAAAAGACTGGTTCCTGGGCCCATCTGACAGAGTCCCAGTTAGTTGTCTGAGCACATTCTGAGCACGGCTGATCCTGTGCAGGCAGGTTGAGAACCACAGAACTGGAGGGGAAAGGAAATGGGAACTGACTAGCGTGGATCCCAGGAGAGCTCCCCTCAGTCTAAGGAAATTTTATCCAGCCAGCCAGTGAGGTGACCACATTTAATGGCTAACGTGTAAGTGCTTACCATGTGCCAGCCATCAACTGGGCTTCATCATCTCGACACAGATCCAAGGCAGTGGCTCACCTACATCGCACCGACCCCAAAGTCCCGCTCTTGAGACTGTTAGGGCCCAAGAGGAAAAATAGGGACTCTTCATGAAAACCTAGAAAATTTCTTCAAGTCACCTTTTATCTACTCACTCATTCAAGAAATGTCCAAGTACCTACAAAGGGCAGGGAGCTGCCTTCCAGAGAGCCAGGTTTCCAAACTGGTTGTGGAAGCAGTGCAGTAGTTCACATACAGCATAGCATACTGTAATGTTTTAAATGTAAACAGAGGTAAGCGGATGGCAGGACTTAGGATCCAGTGCACCAGATACGGGTAAGAGAACGGCTCTCTACAACTCGTATTACTTATGGTGGATGTGTGTGTCTGCACATGAGGTCTTGATGGGAGGTATTTCTGTGGATCACAGTACAAAACATTTAAGCAACACTGAGATGGGCAAGAAATAAGCCATAATATACAGAATGTAATCGTGTTAGCAAACAGTTCTGTGTGTGTTAACCTAGGAACCCTCAAACAACAAACCAAAACTGCTCAGGAGTCATCAATTGCTAGATGCGCCATGAAATCAACACTGCCACTGTGGTTACGACACCACCTTGGAAAAAAAGATGGGGAGAGTCCTAGCTGGTTTGCCTCAGTTAATAAGAGCGTTGGCCTGTGGACTGAAGAGTCCCGGGTTGTGGGTACAATCCCCAGTAGGGGGCGTGCAGGAGGCAGCCAATCAATGATTCTCTCTCATCATTGATGTTTCTATCTCTCTCTCTCCCTCTGAAATCAATAAAAATGTATTTTAAAATAACAAAAACTAGGACTTTTGAAACTCTCAAAGCAGCTCCACACTTCCGGCAGCTCAGCAACACGGCCACCAGACTTAAAAGAAGTGATGTCACAGCCCTCACTACTGACGTGTACAGTTGTGCTAACAGGGAGCTGCATCAAAGCCCTTGCAGCACACACCAAACACCTCAACTTTGGTTCACAAGACACGGCGCCCTGACCTACGTGAGCATTGAGCACTAAGGTTAGGCTGCCTGTAGTTGCTGGTCTGTGGCATCTCCTTGGCAGGCATTCAACCTGTCTGAAAAATAGGATCTTACTGACATATGGACAAGCTTTCACAGCACACAAATGTCATTGTGTATTTGGTACCTACCCTCCCCCCATCTGGTTTCAAACTGCACCAAAACAAGGTGAAATCAGTCTACTTTCAAGACTGTAGCTTCCAAATTCCCATTAACCAGAATGACCGACATCATACTTATAAACATAGAAAGTGATTTGGAAGATTACTCTCCAAAACTAGTCAGTTTTTACCTGTGAGGAGGGTGAAGGAGGACATTTTTTTTACAGAAATTCATGTTAATTTGTTCCGCCATTCCAAAGTCCTCAAGGGCCCCACTGAAGGAAGACAGATTACAAATGTAAACGTAAATTATTCATGGAATCCAGATCACCAAGCTTCATGTCATTTTTTTTTTTTATATTATACCTATTTCACAGATGATGCAATTGAGCCCAGGGAGGCCCAGGTACCCACACATAATTAAGTCTGCATTCAAATCCACATAATTTCAAGCAAAGGTTCTTTCTCCATTTGAGGGGGCAAAAAGCAAAAGAAAATATAAGCTCCCTTCTGCCTGCAAATAGTATAGATAGCCAATCTCGGCTAAGACATGGGACAAAGGCACACTTGTCGTCACCTTGTTCATAGTTTAACTGTTCCTTGCAGAAAGTACTTTGGTAGGATTCATCAATGTCTTAAATTTGAATTCCTTTAAATCAGCAATTCTACCTACAGAAATATATCCTATAGAAACCTAAGGAAACTAGAATATTGCCTGACCAGTGTGGCTCAGTGGTTGAGCATGGACCTATGATCCAGGTCACAGTTCCATTCCCGGTCAGGCCACATGCCGGGTTGCAGGCTCGATCCCAGTGTGGGGTGTGCAGGAGGCAGCCGACCAATGATTCATCGTTGATGTTTCTCTCTCTCTCTCCTCCCTTCCTCTCTGAAATCAATAAAAGTATTTTTTTTAAAAAAAAAAAACTAGAATATTCACTGCTGTGCAGTATACTAATAATTAAACTGTGATTCCCTTAAGGCCCACCCATACAATGAAGTACTATTAGGTCATAAAACATCCGCACATATATTTCATGCAGAAAGACATGCATACACTATAACCAGTTGTGTGGCTTAAATTTTGCAGTTTTAGGTGTTCTTTAAATCATTAATTCAATATAAATAAAATGAAGGGACATCAGAAACTTGGAATAGCATCAATGAAACTTCCGAGTTTTGCTGAGGGCTACAAGTTTGTGTTGAATCCTGAAAACTAATGTTACAGGCTGCTATCTGCTGAACTTTAAGAGAACATGCATGTCCCACCACAGGAAGTAAAACCCTGGATCTCACCATGTCAAATGCATCAGTCCAAGACAAGGAATATCAACCAAAATACTGTCCCCACGAAAACATCACACACCTCAGAAACATCACACACCTCTAAACACACCTCAGAGTCTGGAAGGTCATCTGAACTCATTGAAGTTTTAACAGCTTTCAAAAGGGGTGGGGGAGAGCAGACACTATAAACATCTGATCAGAATAATCTTTAATTAATAAATCTTAAGTTTAGCCCTGACCGGTTTGGCTCAGTGGATGGAGCGTCGGCCTTGCAGACTGAAGGGTCCCCAGTTCCATTCTGGTCAAGGGCATGTGCCTTGGTTGCGGGCACATCCCCAGTGGGGAGTGTGCAGGAGGCAGCTGATGGATGTTTTTCTCTCATTGCTGTTTCTAACTCTCTATCCCTCTCCCTTCCTCTCTGTAAAAATCAATAAAATATATTTTAAAAAATAATAATAAATCTTAAGTTTAACTTTAATAAACATGGGTTTTACCCTAGTCGGTTTGGGTCAGTGGATAGAGCACCAGCCTGAGGACCAAAGGGTCCCGGGTTCGATTCCGGTCAAGGGCAGGTACCTTGATTGGATGGATACTCCTCCCCAGCCCGGGACCTGGTTGGAACTCATGAAGGAGGCAACCGATGTGTTTCTCTCACATCGATTTCTCTCTGTCTTTCCCTCTCTCTTCCACTCTCCCTAAAAATCAATGGAAAAATATCCTCAGGTGAAGATGAACAAACATTAAAATAATAAGTAAACAAACATGGGGTTTTTTTTTTACCTTGTTTGGAGGGACCTTCCAAGTCACTCCATTCCTAGAGGACAGAATGTATTTCTGAAGATTCCCAACTTCATCACTAGACACCCTAAGGAATCAACCTAATAGACAAAGTGACAGTTGTATGAAATAAAATGCAATGAGATTTACTAACAGTAACTACATGCCTCAAACAATCTAGGCAGTAATCATGCCAAAAATTTAAGGATTTGTTCATAAATTTTCTAAAATTAACTGTGCTGTCCATATCCCCAACTAAAGGCCCCATTTCCAAATCACCTCTTGGTATCTTGCACCTTCACTGCACTCAGGTTGGCTCACCCTCATGGTCAGACCTTGGCCATGCCCTTGCTATACAGAGAGCTTGCCCACCTTTCACTGCTGGAGGGAAACATGGAGACCCAAAGCAGCAATTACTCAAGTTGAGCGAGTTCCAACAGCCCTTAGGGGTAAAAATGTAGGCTAGTTCCTTTTTAAAAGCCTGGACTTCATTTGATTACAAAGAGTTATTCAGATGTGATGAACACAACAAAACTGCAGACAAGCCCCATGGTTTTTTGGTTTTTTTAAATATTTATTCATTGAATGATTTAAGGTGTGTACCACTACTCCAGTTGGGTAAACCACATTGAAGAATTTGACTGCAGGTCTTCAGATTCAGCCAAATGTTTCCATTAATTTCACTCTATAAAATACCAGACATTATAATTAAGGTTTTAATGCTTCAGCCATGCTCAGAACACTGCAGTGTAAGGATGACTTCAATCCACTCATGCCAAGTTAGGATGAAAGGAACAGAACTAATGAGCTACGATGTCTAAAAGAATCTGATAATCTATCTCAAGATGAAGAGAGATTCTGTTCCCCAAAAGCAAAGTGTTAAGTTTTAAAATTCAGCCTACAATGTTCTCAAGAGACTGGGGGGAGAAAAAAAATCATTATTTTAAAAGTACCACACATATATGCAATCTTCCATGATTCGTTTTATATCTAAAATGGTACAAAGAAAGGCTTTAAAAATCTAGCAGTCAGAACTAACTTTTCCTAAGAGAAATAATTTTCCTTTCTAACCTAGGTCTCAGGGTTAGTCTGTGCTCAGGTGGCACAGGAGAAAGCAAGGGGATAGAAACAGAGGGAGTTACAAGTGATTAAATGCAATGGAAAAAAGTAACGAATGCTAAAGTTTTCAAAAAGTTTAATGGAGCCAATAAGGCATATAAATTGTGTTCTGGCAGACAAGACCTGCTTTCTCTTACCAAAGAAAATGGCACATATTTTATCAAAATTTGACAATCAAGAGTAAAGGGTACTGAGATTAAGCGTCAGAGCACCAACTAAAACAACCCCCCCCCCCAAAATTGTCACTCAACTTGGAAAGAGGAACTAGACAGAACCAAGGCATAAAGGGGAGATTAAATATGCGTTCCTCAATCTCAAAAAAATCCTTTAGGAGTAGGAGTTCTGGCCACATGTGAGCAACTTATCACACCACCAAACCCCAACTCCAGAATCTAAATTTACAACGACAGAAAAACACAGATATCTCCAACTGCATTTCTTTGTATAGTCCCAAGGGCAGCTTGAAAGTATTCATATTACAGAGGTTTGTCCATTTCAGGTAAAATGAGAGATTGCTATATTTCTTCCTGCTATAATATTAAAACAAAAATAATCCACTTTTGCCAAAATTTAGAAATATCTTTCATTCCTAGTTTTAGCATGGAATTGACTTTTTTAAATAAAAGGTTTTATATATAATGATTACAGAACTCCAGTTCACACATTTCTAACATTCTGTTTACATCCCACCCAGTCGATGAATATTATGGTTAACTTAGCAAAGTTTTTTCACATAAAGATATTAAATGGCTGAAGAAATTGCAAACTTTAACAAAGTGCTGTGAGTAAATTACTGGAAAAACCCTTACATTGGATTTGCAATGGTCTTTTAAGGATAAAAAGAAGTAACTGATACTGGACTACAAATTTGCAAGGAAACATTTTTTCACTGTCCTACTTGATATATATTATATAATAATATGGTAGAATAAATTACAGTACCTGGCAGGCTGACATCAGTTCTTCATCTAAAAAAAGACTATCATTCAGTTCGAGATATTAAAAATGAAGATGAAACATGCTCTAAAACATTGTAGCTACAAGAGGTCTTATATTTTACTCAAAAGAGGAATCTAGTGAGAACTTTTATTTAGGTCTACCTAACATCTAGAGAACCTCCATGCGATTCCATCTTTTCCAGAATGAGATTCCAAACTGCCCTTTTTAGGAGAGGGATTCGAGTTGGGTTTTGCTATTTAAGTTGTAATCACATTGTAAGCAGATCAAGACCTATTTTAACCTGCCACCCATTCCAATGGAAACTGCACAATGTAGGGCACTCATAAAAAATGTAAAACAGGACAGAAAGGCTGGAATACCTACACTCCCACCATCCATCTCCCTTCTCATGAATACTATACCAAAAAGGAAGCCCACTCTCAAATTTTATGACCTCTCTACTTGAGGTCACCTTGAGTGCTGTCTACATGTTTACATTTACCGTAAGAATAAGTACCCTGCATGGGAAGCAGTACTTGTCTTAAAACTGGAGTTTAAGCCTAAAGGGTTCATTCATCTGGGGGCGATTAAAATATTGCTACTTTTAGAGCACTAACACACACAAAGTGAATCCAATAAAGTTCTGTGTATTGATTCAATATTAAGTATTAATTGCATGACCATCATAGCACCTCTTTACATCACACACAATCACCAGAATTAGCAACTGCTTTGAAAACTGAAAACAGGGCACAGTCCAAGAATTAGAAGTTGCACACTGTTACTATATAGAAATCAGGTGCATGGTACAGTGCTGCTGTGCAAAAATGGAAGCCTGCAGATTTGACGAGGAAGCCAAATCGTGTTTTAGACAATTTTAGGAACCTGGCAATACTGTTGAAGCAAAATACTCAACACAGCAGGAAATGGAGGGGGAAAAAAGCATTCTATAACCAAATAAACATCTGATATTTCCTTTCCCTTTGAGAATAAATACAGTTAAGGTCACTTTTAGCCTTGGAACGGATATATGTTTGCCTATGATGATCTTGCTAACTACACAATATCTGATGTCCTCTGCTAGGATTATAGTTTTAAGAAAGCCATGGTTACAAGAGGCATCTACTGTAAATACCTAGAACTTCCTTTTATGGCAACCACTATAGAATTCACTTGTCTTAGAAACAGTGAACAAGGGAAGATGGCCTCATGTTTCCTTTGCAATAATAGTATATGTTGAGGATCAAGTGGCTTTCAAGCAGCATGGTGGGTGTGAAAATGTTTTCAGTTTAGATCATTCTGTTGCGTTTATGGGTTGGTGAGTCTGTAATGACATCGCCACACTGGGCTGAGGTACGCTTTCTAGTTCCACCATTGTCCAAGTGGAGTGCCATTTCTTCTGATATGAAAGTGTTCAAATCGACATCATGGAGTCCATTTCTCCTTCGACTAGCATTCGATCCACTGCTTACATGTGTAGGAGAGCCTGGGGTACTCGAACGCACGCTTATACTAGCCATTGCACCACTAAGACCTAGGAAGAAGAAAAAAGGTTTTAGAGTTGCTCAATTATTCAACCCTCTTGAAAGCAACCCACTTTACTTTCAATGTTGTCATAGTGTCAAAGGATGCCTCACATTTTTTGTAAGGGGTCCCCAG